CAGATTCTCCATTGAACTCTATTGTGGCAAAAACGCTGCTTTTTGCTTTTAAAAAAGTTCCTGACCCTTTCCAAAATCGCAGCGGCTCAAAAAAGCACAGATGTCACATGTTCCATAGGAAACCATGATAAATGGACTGTTTTGTGTTTCTGCAAAAAGCACTAAAAAATGCACTGGTGTGAACAGAGCCTAAATTGAAGAAAAAGAGAGGGGGAAAATGAACTGGAAAAAAACGCACCACTACGCACCCAAAATGCATAAAAAACGAGCATGCGTAAACGCATCCAGAACGCATCTAGACTGCATTTCTATGTTGTGAACCGGCCCTAAGGGCAGTTCACACTCCATGCATTTCAGTTGCTTTTTTTTCCAGCATCCAAAATGCACAAAAAGTAGGTTATATGGTTGTCAATGTCATAGTTCACATCAGTGCTTGCAGTTCCAGTGCGTTCCGGATGCAGAGAAAAAAGTAGAACAGGTTGCATTTTGTCTGCACAGAACTGTACTGGAACGTGGTAAAATGCATAAAAAAATGCAATGGAACGCACTGGAATACACCAAAACGCACCAGACATGCACTGGAACACACATGTCCCTATTTAACCAATTCAATACCGGGCAATTTTACACCTTCCTGCCCAGGCCAGTTTTCAGGTCTCAGCGCTCTCACACTTTGAATGACAATTGCGCGGTCATACAACATTGTACCCAAACTAAAATTTTTTCATTTTCTTCACACAACTAGAGCTTTCTTTTGATGGTATTTAATCACCGCTGGGGTTTTTATTTTTTGCTAAATTAACAAAAAAAGACCAAACATTTTGAAAAAAAAAAAAAACACGTTTTTCTTTGTTCCTGTTATAAAAGTTTACAAATAAATAATTGTTCTTCATAAATTTAGGCCGAGATGTATTCTGCTACATGTCTTTGGTGAAAATAACCCAAATTAGGATGTATTATTTAGTTTGTAGGAAAGTTATAGAGTTCACAAACTATGGTATAGATCTGAATATTGATCAATCCTGAAGTACTGACAGCCAATCTAATTTCTTGAGGTCCAAGAATGTCAGAATAGTACAGATATCCCCAAATGACCCCTTTTTGCAGAGTAGACAGTCCAACGTACTTCATAAGAGGAATGGCAAGTTTTTTGAAGTTGTATTGTTTTTGTCATAATTTTTCGGAAAATGAAAAAATTAAAAAAATTAGTTTCACTATTTTTTTTTTACATACTGTCACCAGTGCAGTACAGCGTCATCATATAACTGGCATGGCGGTGATCAGGGACACTGACTGGTGACAGTATGAAAACAAATATATATATATTTTTATTTTATTATTTTTTATTACATTTTTTTTATTTTTTTAAAGATTTTTTTTTTCATATTTCACTATGACCAAAGTAGTACAATGTTACCATAGTAACATTGTACTACTTAGGGGAAGTGAACAGTATTTTTTTTTTTTTTTACACAATTTGCTTATAGCAAAGAATTTGCTATAAGCAAGCATTTACCTGAATGAATTCAGGGTTTTTTTTTTTTTTGTGCTTAGCTGTGATTTGGCCACAGCTAATCACATGACATGTGCATGTGATCGCTGTGACCATTCACAGCTAGGCACTAGTATACAATGGATGGCATGAATGAAGCCATCCATTGTATATTACTGTCATGTGACCTGCTGTGATTGGTCACAGCAGGTCACATGGTACCGGCAACGGGGGCCGGTACTCAGATCTGTCATCGGCCGTGTCCGAGGTACAAGGCTAGTGACAGATCGCGCCGCTGCGCGGCTCTGCAGGAGCGCAATCTGCGCATGTGCGGGAGGACGTCATATGGCTTGCACCCGGAACGCTGATGACATTTGCCGCCCGACGTTCGGCCATAAGGCGGGCGACTAATGGTTAAATTGAAGAAAAAGAGAGGGAAAAAATTAACTGGAATGTGTCAAAAATGCATAAAAAATGTACTGGAATGCATCAAAAACACGCATGCGGAAACGCATCTGGAATGCAATTCTATAGTGTGAACTGGCCCTAAGAGTCGGTCAGAGGCGTAGCTAGGGCGGGGCAGGGGGGGTACATATGTACCTGGGTGCCAAGGTACAGGGGTGCCAAAATGAGGTCACAGGATCACTGCAGCGGCTGCAGCAGACGTGTCATCTGATACGTCTGCCATCCACAGTGAGTTATGAGAGGAGAGAGGAGCCGGCCGGGAGAGGAGCAGAGAGGAGGGCAGTGAGCCAGGCATGTGCCAGAGGGGTAGAGGGGAGAGCCGAGCCGGGTGAGTAGTGCTATGGATGAAGGGGGGGGGGGGAATGTGATCGGGATGGGGGGGTGTGCACAGGGACCATATGAAGCGGGGGGGGGGGGTGTCATGAGGTGGCTGTTCGTCCCTGGGCGCAAAATATCCTAGCTACGCCTCTCAGTCCGAATGCGTTCCAGATGCGTTTCTGCATGTGCGTTTTTGACTAGATTCTGGCGCAATCTGGTGTGTTTTTTTATGTGTTTTTGACACCTTCTGGTGCAATTTTTATGCATTCCAGTTCATTTTTCCCCTTTTTTTTCTTCGATTTAAATAGGAACTTGTGCATTTTTGCTGCTCACTGGTGCGTTTTTGATGCATTTTACCGCGTTCCAGGGCAGTTCTGTGTTGGAAAAATGCAACCTGTTCTACTTTTTTTTCTGCATCCGGAACTCATTGGAACTGCAAGCACTGATGTGAACTATGACACTGACAGCCATATCACCGACTTTCTGTGTGTTTTGGATGTAGAAAAAAAAGCAAGTAAAATGCATGGAGTGTGAACCGGTCCTAAAGGATAACTAAAGGCCAAACTTTTTTTTATAAGTTTAGTTTTGGAGTAAATTTTTGAGTGGAGAGGGATTAGACCCCCTGTCACTTTTTATTGCTGCTCTGCCCCCTTTAGGGAGATTCCCCCTCTATGTGTCCTGTTTACTGTTATCATTGAAAGTGAAAGAAAATCCCAAAGTATGGATTGCCCCCAGAAAAGTAATAGAGGGGGAATCTTCCAATGGAGACACTAGTTCTGGTGACTGGAGGGTCCTGACCTGGAGGGTATTTCAGGTACTTATATATCGCTATCAATGTACTCAGCACTTTACATATATATTGTACATTCACATCAGTCCCTAACCCTCAAGGGGTGTACAATCTAAGGTCCCTAACTCACATTCATACATATACATACTAGGGCCAATTTAGATAGGATCCAGTTCACCTACCAGCATGTCTTTGGAGTGTGGGAGGAAACCCACACAGGCACAGGGAGAACATGCAAACTCCAGGCAGGTGGTATAATAGTTGGGATTTGAATCAACGACCCCGAGTACTGCCAGGTGGCAGTATAACTACTTAGCCACTGTGCTGCCCAGCGCTGGGTTTTTCTCCCACTTCTTGTTTGGCTATGGGGCAGGAAGTGAATGGAAATCTTCCCAATGGGAAAAGAATATCTTACAGCGGTTCTAACTCTTCCTTGCTCTATCCAAAATTACAAAAAGATAAAGTTTTGCCTATAGTCAGGACTTTTCTTCTCAGAGAATAGGTGCAGGAACTCCCCCTTCTAAGTCACCCCTTGTCTCCACCCCCTACCCACCTCCAAGCACTGCTCCTTAGTCCCATCCCCTACCCACCTCCAAGCACCGTCCCTCATTTCCATCCCCTACCCACCTCTGAGTTCTGCTCCTTGGTTCCACCCCCTACCCACCTCTGAGCACCGTCCCTTTGTTCCACCTCCGAGCACTGTCCCTAGTTTCCACCCCCTACCCACCTCCAAGCACCCCTTGGTTCCATCCCCTACCCACCTCCGGTTCCACCCCCAACCCACCTCCAAGCATCGTCCCTTGGTTCCATCCCCTACCCACCTCTGAGCTCCGCTCCTTAGTTCCATCCCCTACCCACTTTCGAGCACCGTCCCTTGGTTCCACCCCCTACCCACCTCCAAGCATCATCCCTTGATTTCCATCCCCTACCCACCTCCGAGCACTGTCCCTAGTTTCCACCCCCTACCCACCTCCGAGCACTGTCCCTAGTTTCCACCCCCCTACCCACCTCTAAGCACCGTCCCTTGGTTCCATCCCCTACCACCTCTGAGCACTGTCCCTTGGTTTCACCCCTACCCCTACCTTGGTTTCACCCCCTACCACCTCCAAGCATCGTCCCTTGGTTCCATCCCCTACCCACCTCCGAGCACCGTCCCTTGGTTCCATCCCCTACCCACCTCTGAGCTCCGCTCCTTGGTTCCATCCCCTACCCACCTCCGAGCACCGTCCCTTGGTTCCATCCCCCTAACCCACTTCTCGAGCATCGTCCCTTGGTTCCATCCCCTACCCACCTCTGAGCTCCGCTCCTTAGTTCCATCCCCTACCCACTTCCGAGCACCGTCCCTTGGTTCCACCCCCTACCCACCTCCAAGCATCATCCCTTGATTTCCATCCCCAACCCACCTCTGAGCACCGTCCCTTGGTTCCATCCCCTACCCACCTCCGAGCACTGTCCCTAGTTTCCACCCCCCCCTACCCACCTCCAAGCACCATCCCTTGGTTCCATCCCCTACCCACCTCCGAGCACTGTCCCTTGGTTCCACCCCCAACCCACCTCTAAGCACCATCCCTTGGTTCCATCCCCTACCCACCTCCGAGGACTGTCCCTTGGTTTCACCCCCTACCCACCTCCAAGCATCGTCCCTTGGTTCCATCCCCTACCAACCTCTGAGCTCCGCTCCTTAGTTCCATTCCCTACCCACCTCTGAGCACCGTCCCTTGGTTCCATCCCCAACCCACCTCTGAGCACCGTCCCTTGGTTCCATCCCCTACCCACCTCCGAGCACTGTCCCTAGTTTCCACCCCCCTACCCACCTCTAGCACCGTCCCTTGGTTCCATCCCCTACCCACCTCCGAGCACTGTCCCTAGTTTCCACCCCCTACCCACCTCTAAGCACCGTCCCTTGGTTCCATCCCCTACCCACCTCTGAGCACTGTCCCTTGGTTTCACCCCCTACCCACCTCCAAGCATCGTCCCTTGGTTCCATCCCCTACCCACCTCCGAGCACCGTCCCTTGGTTCCATCCCCTACCCACCTCTGAGCTCCGCTCCTTGGTTTCATCCCCTACCCACCTCCGAGCACTGTCCCTTGGTTCCACCCCCTACCCACCTCCAATCATCGTCCCTTGGTTCCATCCCCTACCCACCTCTTTGAGCACCGTCCCTTGGATCCATCCCCTACCCACCTCCAATCATCGTCCCTTGGTTCCATCCCCTACCCACCTCTTTGAGCACCGTCCCTTGGTTCCATCCCCTATCCACCTCCAAGCATTGTCCCTTGGTTATATCCCCTACCCACCTCCAAGCATCGTCCCTTGGTTCCATCCCCTACCCACCTCCGAGCACCGTCCCTTGGTTCCATCCCCTACCCACCTCTGAGCTCCGCTCCTTGGTTCCATCCCCTACCCACCTCCGAGCACTGTCCCTTGGTTCCACCCCTACCCACCTCCAATCATCGTCCCTTGGTTCCATCCCCTACCCACCTCTTTGAGCACCGTCCCTTGGATCCATCCCCTACCCACCTCCAATCATCGTCCCTTGGTTCCATCCCCTACCCACCTCTTTGAGCACCGTCCCTTGGTTATATCCCCTACCCACCTCCAAGCATTGTCCCTTGGTTCCATCCCCTACCCACCTCCAAACATCGTCCCTTGGTTCCATCCCCTACCCACATGGATGAGACAAACCATTTACCACTGACAGGGATGCTTACAATGATCAGCTTTTATTTATTCATGTAAAACCTTTATCCCTAAAGGGAAAAAAACTGTTTGCTGTAATTGCTTATAAAGTGTGGGCTGGAGTGTGGCTTCAGTTTGTTAGTGTACCTAAATCTGCTAGTACATCTAAGGCCCCATTCACACCTGAGCGTTTTGTAGCTTAAAGCTTCAAAATGCTTGAGGAGCAAAAATCAATTATTCTCAATGGAGATGATTATTATTTTTTTTTTAAGGGTTAGGGGATTAATAATTATTTATTTAATATTACATTGTTTTAATTTATTGATTTATTATTTATGTACAATTATTTTTTATTATTATTTGTGTATTTAATTTACATTTATTTATCCATTTATTATTATTATTAATATTATTATATTAACACCCTAACACTAAAAAAAAAAAAAAAAAATAACAAGAAAACCTTAAATAAAATATTAACCCCGCCCCAAACCCCAATTCTAACCCTAACCTAAACTTAACTCTAACCTCTTACCCTAACAAAAAAAAAACAAAAACAAATAATAATAATAGAAATAAAAGCTGACTGAAAAGCTAAAAAAGCTGAAAACATAGCAACAAATGATGCAACAGGTTCTATTTTTCTCTGTTGGCTAATAAAAAAAGGCAAACCTCAAATATGCCTAAAAAAGCTGTATGAAAACATGCAAAAACGCACCAAAAAACTTGCACAAAAAACGCTCAAATTCACTACTCTCAAGTGTGAATGCAGCTTAACACTCCCCTCCCCCCAGACTGACAATTCTGCAGTCTGCTGCGCCCCCTGTGCTCCTTCATCCAGAGTGGAGGCGCTCTAATACAGGAGGTGTGAGATCACCAGGTGAAAACAGAGGGAGAAAAAAAGACAAAAAATAAATCTAATGCAGCCACCACATCTAATGACTGCAATGTATTACCATTTTGGTTTTCGGATTAATACCGCTTTAAATCTAGGTTCACACACTACGCAGGTTGCATTTGAGCCGTTTCTGCATCGCATTTTTGACACGTTTTTGATGCGTTTTGCGGGGGTTTTTTTTTTTGTTTTTTTTTGTTTTTTTTTCTTGTTGCAAGGCAGATTTAAAACGCAAAACACAGCAAATGCATTTCTGCAGCGTTTCCATTGAAGTCTATAGAGCCAAACAAGCAACTTTTTGCGTTCAAAAAAGTCCCTGACCCTTTCCAAAAAAAAACTGGAACGGGTGAAAAACGCAGAGATGTGAAGTTGTCACGTAGGAAATCAGGTTAAATGGACTGTACTGGTTTCTGCAAAACGCTGTGGAAAACTCTTAGATAAGAACCTATGGTCAGTCCACCTAAATCTGTTAGTCTAACCCTCCCCTCCCCCGCAGACTGGCAATGCTGCTGTCTGCTGTGCCCCCTGTGCTGCTTCATCCAGAGTGGGGGTCGCTCTAATACAGGAGGCGTGTTACTGGCCAGATCACCAGGGGAAAAAAAAGAAAACTAATGCAGCCACAACATTTAAGAATTGGTAAGCTGCAATGTATGACTTTTTTGGGTCTGGGTTTGGATTCCCTCGAATGTTACAGGAAGGAGTTCAAATCCCAAATAAAATAGAAGGGACTTGTTTTAAAATCTCTACATTGTTTTTTTTTGGTACCAAAATTACAAAAGTTAGATCAATGAAGTCCTAGAAATAGATGGAGGAACTATTTCTGGTTTAGAAGAAAAAAAAAAAAGATGGAGAAAAGCTGAAGCCAGCAGAGGGAAGCAAAGTCTGTTTTAGGAGAAAGTTGTGGAATCGCAGCGACACTCTCCAGCTGTACAATGTAAATGGAGGGTCAAGGCTGGACCAATCACAATGCATCTCACTCATTGCCTGCGTCTCACATTTCCACTCCTTAGGCCCAATTCACACCAAGCTTTTTTGAAACGTGTGTTGTTGTTTTTTTTTTTTTTGCAACTTTTTAGCACATCACACATTGGGGGTTGATTTACTAAAGGCAAATAGATTGTGCACTTGCAAGTGCAGTTGCTCCAGAGCTTAGTAAATGAGCAGAAGCTCTGCTGACTTCCATCATCCAATCATGTGGCAGCAAAAATGCTGTTCTTTTATGTTCCTTGCATGTGATTGGATATTCTGAGCAAAGTGAAGTTTTACCTCGTTTACTAAGTTCTGGAGCAGTGGTCTTCAAACTGTGGCCCTGGGGCCGAATGCAGCCTTTTGCTTGCTTTTATCCGGCCCTTGGGCCATTATTACCCCCACTGTCAGCAACAGAAGGGCATAGTTCCTGCCACTAACACCAACGAAGCACTATTCCTTTCACTGATGACACCAATGATGGGGCACTATTCCTCCCACTGACACCAATGATGGGGCACTATTCCTCCCACTGATACACACTATTCCTCCCACTGAACCAATGATGGGCACTATTCCTCCCACTGATACCAATGATGGGGCACTATTCACTGATGATGGAGCACTATTCCTCCCACTGACACCAATGATGGGGCACTATTCCTCCCACTGACACCAATGATGGGGCATTATTCCTCCCACTGACACCAATGATAGGGGGCACTATTCCTCCCACTGATACCAATGATGGGGCACTATTCCTCCCACTGACACCAATGATGGGGCACTATTCCTCCCACTGATACCAATGATGGAGCACTATTCCTCCCACTGACACCAATGATGGGGCACTATTCCTCCCACTGATACCAATGATGGGGACACTATTCCTCCCACTGACACCCATGATGGGTCACTATTCCTCCCACTGATACCAATGATGGGGCACTATTCCTCCCACTGATACCAATGATGGGGCACTATTCCCTCTACTGATACCAATGATGGGACACTATTCCTCCACTGATACCAATGATGGGGGTTCTATTCCTCCCACTGATACCAATGATGGGGTACTATTCCTCCCACTGATACCAATGATGGGGCACTATTCCTCCCACTGATATCAATGATGGAGCACTATTCCTCCCACTGATGATGGGGCACTATTCCTCCCACTGATACCAATGATGGGACACTATTCCTCCCACTGACACCATGATGGGTCACTATTCCTCCCACTGATACCAATGATGGGGCACTATTCCTCCCACTGATACCAATGATGGGGCACTATTCCCTCTACTGATACCAATGATGGGACACTATTCCTCCCACTGATACCAATGATGGGACACTATTCCTCCCACTGATACCAATGATGGGGCACTATTCCCCACTGATACCAATGATGGGGCACTATTCCTCCCACTGATACCAATGATGGGGCACTATTCCTCCCAGTAACACCAATGATGGGGCACTATTCCTCCCAGTAATACCAATGATGGGGCACTATTCCTCCCACTGACACCAATGATGGGGTACTATTCCTCCCACTGATACCAATGATGGGGCACTATTCCTCCCACTGATACCAATGATGGGGCACTATTCCTCCCAGTGATACCAATGATGGGGCACTATTCCTCCCACTGATACCAATGATGGGGCACTATTCCTCCCACTGATACCAATGATGGGGCACTATTCCTCCCCACTGATACCAATGATGGGGCACTATTCCTCCCACTGAATACCAATGATGGGGCACTATTCCTCCCACTGATACCAATGATGGGGCACTATTCATCCCACTGATACCAATGATGGGGCACTATTCCTCCCAGTAATACCAATGATGGGACACTATTCCTCCCACTGATACCAATGATGGGGCACTATTCCTCCCAGTAATACCAATGATGGGGCACTATTCCTCCCACTGACACCAATGATGGGGTACTATTCCTCCCACTGATACCAATGATGGGGCACTATTCCTCCCACTGATACCAATGATGGGGCACTATTCCTCATACCGACACCAACAATAGGGCACGGTTCCTTCCACTGATACCAATGATGGGGCACTATTCCTCCCACTGACACCAATGATGGGGCACTATTCCTCCTCCCACTGATACCAATGATGGGACACTATTCCTCCCACTGATACCAATGATGGGGCACTATTCCTCCCACTGACACCAATGATGGGGCACTATTCCTCCCTCTGATACCAATGATGGGGCACTATTCCTCCCACTGACACCAATGATGGGGCACTATTCCTCCCACTGACACCAATGATGGGGCACTAGTCCTCCCTCTGATACCAATGATGGAGGCACTATTCCTCCCACTGATACCAATGATGGGGCACTATTCCTCCCACTGACACCAATGATGGGGCACTATTCCTCCCACTGATACCAATGATGGGGCACTATTCCTCTTACTGATACCAATGATGGGGCACTATTCCTCCCACTGATACCAATGATGGGGCACTATTCCTTCCACTGACACCAATGATGGGGCACTATTCCTCTTACTGATACCTGATGGGGCACTATTCCTCTGATACCAATGATGGGGCACTATTCCTCCCACTGACACCAATGATGGGGCACTAATGGGACACCAATGATGGGGCACTCCTTCCACTGACACCAATGATGGGGCACTATTGGTCTTTTATTGAAAAGAATCAAGCAACAGAATTTTATTCAAAAGTAAAAAATCATAGTACAGTCATACAACAGAAACCAAAAGGAATGTACATCCATGTCCAGAACATATACAATATATACAAAGTTTATTGCCCAAATTTTTCAGACTATAGAAAACTATTTACATAAAGCATCAGAGAGGGCCTAAGAGGCACAACATCACCTATGTACACCCTTCACCTATGTACACCCATCACCTATGTACACCCTTCACCTATG